TTGGCAACCGAGCAGGAATGGGCCAGGGAGCGCGGTGCCCCCAAGGGCGACCGTCGCATCCGCGACACATATGTCCTCTCCACGACACGAAACGGAATTTTCGTGGAGACACGCCACGCGCGTTTCGGAAACGATGGTTCCATAGATATCCGGACATAGCTGAAAGGTCCTACCATATCCAACGGACAGCGGTGATTAGTCATCAGAAGGACGTTTGCTCTTCTTGCTAAACAATCATCTTTCGAACCAAAAGTACGATTCCTGTAGGCACCTAATGGAATAAAACTCTTCATTAAAGTAGCAGATGTCCCGTTGCCCTTGTACGAAAATGCGCAGCAAGGGTGCCTGGCTCCATAGAATAGCTCACCGGCGGCGCGGATGCGAGCGCGTGCGGGTGACGTCACTTTGACGTCACAGCGGCGGCGAGGGATTGAGCAAGAGTGGTGCCAATACTTTATAACATTGCGTATAGGACACTATCGACTCTGACTTCACTATGCAGTGAGTAGAAGTAATAACGAAGAATGGACTTATGAAATCAACTTCGAATTAGTTGCGAATTCGTTAGGGTTTACACACGAAACCGTTGATTTCCTCCTTATTCGCAACAGATTCCTAATTTTCGAGGGCGAAAATAGTACCTATACACAATACAATCACTTCGCTCACGGCACTACTGATTGCACTAGTTGGTGAGATGCCAGCTACCCTTCTACTATTCAAGCGAAGTGGCAGCGACGCTTTTAGTCTGCCCTCTCGTGCTGTTGCCGCAGCTGTGACGTCAGCTGCACGCGCTCGCGTCCGCGCCGCCGGTGAGCTTTTCTCTGCCCCCAGGGTACCTGTGCTTGGCGCTGAGCTTGGCCTGACGTTTGGCTCATGTCGCACTTTTATTTTTGTTTTCTTTTTCGTAATTTTTTCGTCGCAAAGATTTTCATTGTTGACGGAATTCTTACAGCAGAAGTTTCTCAAGTGCCTCTCTATGAGTAGACACAAGCCCTCCACTGCCCTTACCGTCTTCGCAATATGATGTCATCTGCCATCCTCGTCGAGCTCCCGTAATTGCTCTAGCTTGGAGCTCTCACACAACTTCTTTAATCAGTTCACTGTTATATGGTTTTCTAGAGAAGTCAGCACTAATTACAAGCCCCCTCGAAACCAACTTCCTAGAAAACGTCGCAATGGTATACGATCCCTGGAGGACCCAGTGAGCATCATTGCCATGTTGCCGAGGCACACTTTTCTAATGCCGTCCAAGATAAAGGCACTTTGAGAGTGTTGTTCTATAAAATGGGATGTGTTCTTAAAGCTTATGCTGAGAATATTCGATTTGAATTCAGGAAAGTACGATTAAATCCATTTGAATGTGTTGGAAAAATGGATTTTTATTGCCCCCTTGTGTCTGTTCAGCACCTCGTTGTCAACTCTCCTAAATAAGCAAACAGCTTTGTGCAAGCATGAGTAACGTGTCCTCAATTGTATTATGGCTTCTGAGTCCTAGACGTGTGCAATCATAGAAATGCTTTATTTGTGATACCCGTAAACGTTCAATAACCCAGTCAACTACACCTGGTAATTTGTAAAGGAGAAAATGAAACAGTGCCAAATCTTGCTGATTTCAACAGATTTGAGAAAACTGTCAATGGAGACTGGGAAGGCATGTGAAGTATGTAGATTTTGGTAGAAGAATTGAAAATGATTATCAGCGGCAGTAAAAAATAAAAATCGAAAAGACAATCGGAGCATGAGCGAAGGTGGAAAATGTCGATCAGTGGTTTCCAATGTTTTTGCCGAGCACTTTCAGATCGTCTGGCGCTCGCACTACCCATTCTGGCCAACCACCGAAATAGATTCGAGCGTCATAGTCGAGACGCTTCAGCGACCACCAAATCAGCGACGAGCGCAGTGACGTTGAGCAATAAACGATCTGAAATGACTTACTCATTTTTTTGTTAAAGGCAAGATTCAGGATTGAATTATGAGTTAATTCCACTCAAATGTGAAAGTAGGGGTAGGTAGTGGACCGCCAGTGCAGAAAAAGAAAAAAAATCGTGAAATGCACAGGAAATACGAGCCTTTTGCTCTACGCTGCGGAGAAGTTCAAAAGGCCGGCAGGGAGATGAGAGATAATGTGAGCGCGGAGAGCGCTAGAGAAGTCTAAGTAGAGAGAGCATAGCAGATCAACATTCCGACCAGGGTCAACCGTCACGTTCGAACATTTTCGGGATTTTTGCGACCCCCTGTTATTTGTTAATAAGAGTGCTAGACATGAATCCGTTGCGCCAGAAAGCGTCTGCCGCGTCGTCGAGCGTCGGCCTTGGAGCGCGGGCAGGTATCACACCCGGGCGCTGGAAGAACGGGACGCGGCGAAGAAAAAATTTTAGATGGGAATAACTTTCTTGGGACGTATTTTTTTTTGACTTGTTGAGGTAGATTTTGATTGCTAGCCTGAAAGTCGCGCCCTTCCACGAATATCACTAACCAAGATCTCCCCTACACTCTCCGGCCAAAAAGCTAATCTTATAGTTAGACCAGCACGAACAACCCAAAACATTCGTAAGCAGGCGCACCCCTTCCACTTAAATGAAGGCGGCCCATCAAAATCTTTCGTAGCGAAAGCTCTGCAGAAAATCTAGTAAAATAAGTTAGGAAAACCTTCAAACAATTTTTTCTCCTAAACACACATTACAAAAGCTTGAGTGATATTGTTCGCCTTTTCAACAAACGTCCGCGTTCGAGACATTTCCGGGTGCAAACAGCGAGTTTTTGGGCTCTCATGCTCACCATAACCTCACATTCAATCTTCATTTCTGTGCGCTACTTTTTTTCTATGAGATTTGCTCTCTTCTAACAAGCCCCAAACCGTTTTTCAAAGTTCATTTTTCGAGAAAATCACACGTTTGAACATTTTGGGGGGTTTTGCCGAACACTTTTTTTGAAATCGCGAGTTTTTGGGCTTTAAGCGGGCATAACTCACTTCATTTTCACGATTATGCAGATGAAACTGTTTCCATGGGTGAAAGGGCAGGATTTAGCATCATTTCCTGATGAACTCTGAACGCCTTTTTCACATCCTTTTTCCGAGATACTCACACTATCCGAACATTTGTCCCGCCAGAGGCTTTTGAGCCCAGCAACAACAAATGCGAGATTCTTGAGCCCGCAGGACACAGATAACTTCTCTCAAAGATGTTGGGAGAAAGAAGGGCCAAGCTTCTCTTGAAAGACTCATAAAAACTCAACGAGAGTATTTGCTGCGTGTCTCATGTTTTTATCCGTTGTCTGAACGAATCGTCCTCAAAAATTAGGTCCCGTAAGAATTGGTGAAATAAGGTTCAGGCCTGAAAGTACAAACTTTTCCATCGGGATCATTCAACCAAGTTTTCTTTATTCGCTCACAAAGGACACAGACCGCCGTCAGATCTTGCCTAACAATGCCTCTCTTCTGTGCGATTAATTTAATCGAATCTAATGCGGTCTGCACAAACAATTCTTGCCCTCGGATACGCCACGCACGCGCCTGTGGCTGGCAGTCCTCGAAATTGCGACCCCCTTCCGACCAAAATGCGACCCCTTCGTTCGAACAGTTCGAACGGACGGTTGACCCTGATTCCGACGCAGTCAAGATATCGAGCGGTGGGCGGAGCGTGTCGCAGCAAGTGGAGCGTGTCAAAGTTCTTAGAGCCTAGCGTCTAAATAACGGTTTTCGAAGTAGGGAAGTGACGGAACCCAATACAACTAGCCGTCAGCCCTGCGCTTCTAAAGCCCCCCCACTCGTACCAAAGCGAGTTCAACTCCTCATTAAGTGAGTCTGAGCACGAACTTTGCCTAAATAGAAAATCAAACAGTGTGCTTGGAATGTTTGAGTTCAAGGCTGATTTGGTCGCGTTGATAGGCTTAGCAGTTGTCTAACAGGGGGGTGCAGCCGGTAAGTATGTTGAAGCAGCCCAGCACACTCGAGAACGTCCACAGTAGCAATGAGCAAATGAGTAAAGGGTTCCTTTGTGCTTTTTGGCTGACCAGATATTGTCCTTCTCATCATGCGAGATCGCCTGCCTAAAGGTGACCATGACCGACCACTTCATTCGAATGCAGCTTATCATCACGGTGGAAGCGACCAAGCTCCAATAGTAATTGCGGTTTTGAGCTTTGTTGTTCGTTTTCCGTAATTTTCTCCGCCTTTTCGTCTCCGACACTTTAATGGCACTTAATTCTCCGTATTAGCGCTCCTTGAAAAGTAGCAGATGCCGTCGTGAATGGAGAAAGAGTGCGTGCGATTTCATGCTGCCCTAACTTCAACTCTCAAACGCGTACTATTCCGCAAATAAAAGCGTGCCCCCTCAGGATCAAATCAGGGTAATTTTTGCACACGAATACGAATGTATTGGTGCGAAATGGGCCGGCAGTAAAGAAAAAAGGAAAAGAATCCGTCGAAAACGCTTAGGTTAAGGGCTCACTCACCTTCCTAATCGGCTGTGCTAAGGGAATGAGAGACTAAGCGCGGAGAGGAGAGTATGAGGCGAGAGAGCGCAACAGATGAGAGGGCGCCAGACAACAGCCTGATAAAAGAAAAATTGCAGCTGCAGCAGCTTACTTTGCAAGGCCCTAGCGCTCTTGTCGGTTGATTTCCGTGCACGGGAATGCCACATCTGTGACATCTTTATTCATCTCCTTAGGAACTTATCCTAGAGACCGAAAAGAATCTTTCACACGACATCTGTGTGGACTGTGTCGTTAAGTGAGTGCAACAACAGTTTCCGTGAGAAAATCTGATCGTCCCGCGAACGCTTGCACGTGAGTAGCATGGGAGCACGAGGAACCTACTTCGCTGGCCTGTAACACACTACCGCGTCTGCTTCCGCTCTCAAATAGACGTAACGGGGGCTGGATGGTAACTGTCCCTCACCTTACGACGACTCTTTGCTCGCTTGTAAACTTTGTGCTTTCCAGCTACGATGAGATGCCGTTTACTTTTTCCTATTCGGGCCTGCTACCCTTAATCTGTTATCGCATGATCTTTCTTTGAACTGCGAAATGTCCCGCTTTTGGCCAAATATTTTATTTTCCGACGTTCTTCTTTTGAACCTAGAACAGCCCAGCAATGTGTTTCGTCTTATAGAGCGCAGCAGGCGTATCGTGTCTTCCTTGAAAGAAATCGTCTAAGGCAGTCAGGAATAGGGTAAGGCTTCACTCTAATCGACTCCTGACCAGAGTCAACCGTCACATTGGACGAATTTCAAAAATTTTACGACCCCCCTTTCTGGAGGGCCTCGATACGACCCCCCAGCTGTTACTATGTATAGCATTTGATTCTGTGATTCTGAGACCAGTTGTCACAGCCCACCTCCACCCACACTTCCTCCAAAATAGCCGTCAAGCGGGGGGGGGGGGGGATATCTACAGTGAATTTTTTAAAACGTGAAACGGCAAATTTTTCTTAGCACTCACAAAGCGTAAAGCGTCACACTACGACCCCCGTTGGTGTAGGATTGACGCTGCCTCCGACCTTGCAAATACGACCCCCTTTTCGTCGGCCGAATACGACCCCCCTCGTTGGACTTTGTCCAACGGACGGTTGACCCTGGTCCTGACTGTAATTTTGGAAATTTAATGTCCAGAGACACTGAAGATCTAGAGTGTTTCGTTGAATGCTGAGCAGTGTGAGGACACAACACCTTACTACATTCTCCGAGGAGAGAACTAACCATTATGTTGTACAGTGAGGGAGGCCCATTACAAAAGAGGTTTCTGGTTATTATCAGGGAGAAAGTAGTGATATTACTTTGAATTTTGTCACGCATCTTCGCAAAGGAAGTGCCGGCACATACCACGGGCTTTCCACGTGAGAGACCAGCTTCGAGGAAAATCTGTTGAATTTCGTTTGTGGTTCGCCATTTGTTTGATTTCCAGTCATACATCGCGTCGACTGGGACGTTCACTGCTCCCCGAATGTGTCCGTAAAGAGCTCCAGAAGCTTCACCGTCATATTCCTGAATATTTTCTTTGCTAACACTTCCCTCTTTTATTCTGTGATGCTGCCTTCAATATATATGAATGCACCAGTGGCTTAGTTCATATACAATAAACAATTATGACCACCTCTTTGGTTTGTGCATCGACGACATCGAATGTACGTAGCTCTGTGTTGAGAAGAACATCATCAAAAGTGATCACCAACGACTGATTCCAAGATGAGAGCAGATTGCCTGAATTGAAACCTCAGGGAGTAAAGCCAAGCAGCAGCAATGCTGAGTCTTAAGTATCACCATGCTGAGGTGAGTAGGTTCTCGAATTAGGTAGGCTTTGTAATTGCTAATAGAAACTATTTATCTAGAACTCCTCACAAGGCCTGGTTTCCCTCACTGAGGACATTTTTGCCACTGGTGCGGAGTATTACTAAGTCGTCTACAGGTTGCACAGTAGATTTGGCCTACGGCGAAGCGATATTTCGGATTTTGTTTTTGGCTTGAACCGAATAGGCGTGACCTTAGACCGACGCTCTATAATGAGTCTTTTTAGGAACTAATCATGAGTCACAGCAGCTCAGATCAAAATTTTTGGTACCATCTCAAGATGCTAGTTCTCAGGAATAACTAGTACACGATCGCGAACTTCGACTGATTTCTTAAGCTTTGACGGTGACTATGAAGTGATTCAACCTTGAGTTCATCACATATGGGGATCATTGAGAATATGCATGATTGACTTGTATTTTGAAAGAGGATGGGTGCTGAATATCGAGTTTGACATTTATGAGTGCTCGTTACTGAGCGTTCTCAGTTTTCGAGGAATTCAGAATAAGCAAAGTTTGCAGCAGATGTTCCCTTCTTAGGCTACTGAGGTAATATTATAATAGCTAACTTCACAACTTCAGGTCTTAACAATAAACTAGATTGTTACAGCTCACGGTCTGACTTACCTTGCGCTCTCTCCACCTCGTCGCCGCTGTCAGTGTGGTACTGTGACGATCTAGCCTGTTGTGCTTTCCATGCAAGGAAACCACCGCTCAGTATGGAGACCCGGCGATGTCCGAATAACTGGAAACCGAATACCTAATGTGGCTAGAGTAGCTCTACTTAATGATCTTGAATTGAACATACCTTGAAAATCCATGCTGCGTAGGTGCTCCAGATCATTTGCCCTCTGTCGTAGATGACCACATGGCAATCGTTGTCCACTCCAAGTGATCTCATATATCTAAGTGGACATGATACCATTTTCTACTCAGCAATCGTTCACTTGAAGGCGAAAATGCTGCACTTTTTCGCATATGCTCTATTATAGGCTAGGTTATCGCTGAGAACCACGAGTGTCGCTGCGCTAGCACTTAATCTTATACTTTGCAAAAATTTGCTTCAAAAATAGTCAGAGAATTGAAGTCATTACAAATGGAACGTTTGTGACCCAATGCAAAATAGCCTGAAAAAATGAACCTCTTGCTGGTAGCTCGACTGAAGCGTCGCTCTGATGCAAGCTTTACTACATTATTGGATTGGAGCATAATATCGTAGCGTTTTTTTTTTGAGTGCATAGCGAGTCTATCAGAGCAAGTATCACCCGAAAAACACATATATTTGGAAAGCACTTTTTTCGCTCTACAAAACCGTAGTTGTCATTTTTTTCAAAATTGTAGCTGTACTCAGGTATAGAGCTTAGAAGTTGGAAAATCCAGACGGCGAAAATCGGCGTTTCGACAGCTGCTATTCTTCGGTTTAAATAAAGAAGAAAAACGCCAAATTGGAAGTTCTTTTGAATCCATTGTTCTAATCGAACCTTGCTCTAACCGACCCTACCTTTTCGCTCAAATTAAAACCATATTCATTTCGTACAAATTGAGAATAATAAGGACTCCGAAAACGAGCTCAATATTTTTTTTAAATTCTATATCCGGTGATCTCCTGCGAAATGCAATCAAAGTTGTAAATAATGACGAAGTGAACATCACTGATTAGTTTTATGTTTTATTTTTTGCTTCAAATGTTTGTGTGAAGAAATGAAAAATGCAAGCGCTACGATATTATGCTCCAACCCCAATAGATCATAGCAGAGATTTGAGGTTTCGAATGTAGCGTCCGAGTTGATCGAAGTCCTAATCCATGACAGCATGGTCTTCGGGTCAGTATACGTATGAAGCAGTAGCTGCTGATCCGCGAGGGGAGCGAGTCTGAGAGTATAATGAAGAAGAGGCTCGCTTCCTTAGCATGGGTTTGGGTTTTGCGACAGAGTGTCTTAGCTAAACTGGGTGCCAATGCAATGATAGATTGCCAATATAAATAATGCAAATCACTCGGAGGCGAGGAAGCATAGGAGACGCATTAGACGCAGACATCGACGCATTGCGGACGGTCGGCATGCAATGATGCAACTACTAAGCTACTATTGCCCTTTATCATACGTTTTCTAGACAAGAAAGTGGCAGTACCTCTGTGATGGCGGACCCAGAAACTTGACTTTTGGAAGGCATCGGTCTAATTAATCATGAAAGGTGCTTTTAAAGTAATGTTGTGTGTATTTGGCTTCCAAATTTTCGTGGTTTTTCTACGATTGGGTTCACTTCTCAGTGGAAACGGATGTCGTATAAATTTAAGAAAGTTTAATACTACGCTGTTCCGAGATGGAAATTCTGCAAGTGCTTGTTGTCTTTCTTATTCAGCTTATCTTTCCTACGCTTTGCTGCGCTTAAGTTAAATTGAATATACAAATCACTTTCTGAGTATTGCAACAACTGCGAAAAACATCCAAGGCGTAACTAACATTAGCGTTAATGAGATCCCTTTCATGGAAAACTCGAGCGCTCTATTCGAAAAGACATCTTGTATTCAGATGCGTGTCATTGATTACCTTTGAAATTGGAGTGGATGAACTGGCACCCCGGAATGGCTGAGATTGGAATGGTAGAGCAGTCGAGCTGTTTCGATATGTTCCGTGAGAAATTGTTCCCTAAACAAAGAAACAACTTGTGCAAGTCCGCAAATCGTGTTCTTGAAAAATACGAAAAAATAGAAAAAATGCATCGAGAACAACCATTCGGTGGTGATAATCCCTTTTTGGGAGGCACCGCGCAATTTAATTCCTCCGGAACGCAACGGCATCTTAAGTGCAATTTGGCCAATCCAGTGAGTGTCAGGGGACAACCGAAGTGCAAGACGATGTTTTTTCCTCCCGGTCGACTCTGGTGCTAACCGACCAATCCCATAGGGGTGGAAGGCTTGGTAGCCAGAACGGCGTACCCTCCAGGATTTGATAATCGCATTGCGTGCATGGTATGCGGTACCACTTTCCACCACACCCATCCTGCCCTTGATGCAAATATTCCGCTGTAGTTCTTTTTTTCACCGGTTCACGGTTTCAGGGAAGTTTTTCTCGGCGAATGTATATGACTCGCTACGCCATCATGAGCAGCAGCAGCCTTGTTATAACACTTTCGTTCCTTGTCATCTTCTTTGGCACGCAAGCACTGACTACTCATTTCTTCCTCTTCTTCGTACCCACGGGTGGCTTCTTATGTACTAGATGATTCCGCGAAGGAATTCGGCAACTAAGCAATGGGCTCTGCGATTCTCATCGACATTGGCAGTTACCCATCCAGAAGCCGTTATGATTCTACAGTCGTAATCAACAAACACAAAATCTGTCAGTTGAAAAGGCAACTGGAACTGGATAACGGAGTTCAAAACTCAGAGTATCTATACTCTCTATTCAGAGTATCATTACAGTACAAAAACAATCAGAGTATCCTATTTCATTCAACCGACTCGACTCCATGTCATCCAACTGAACTTCTATGTATTCTGTTTCACTCGCCTCTTAGGCGCTGAAAACGAAACTGCTCCACAATAAACGATACTCTTGAGGAAGACAATGAGGAGTACAGCGTAGCTGCAGTGGTCTGAGCTTAAAGCGAGAGATTACGATAAAGTATGGGTGTGTGCGAACATGGAACTACATACACTAGAGGAAGCTGTAGTTAGGAAATCAAGGAAGCAAGACGTGGTCTTTTGTGGCAGAAGGCGCTCTAGCAAAGCGCCCTGGTGCTGCCAATTCTCTCTGAGCTTCGCCTCCGCCGCCTGTGTGCCGCTCATCGGCGGTTGCTAGCAGCATCATTGTTCTGGTCTTTTGAACATGGTACCCTATTTCAAGCATATACTAACTTTCCCAAAATGGGTCATCAATCAAAACATGAGATTTGCTGGAATGATAGCGGCTATCGGTTTAACATGTGCAAACGACCTCTTAGTTGGTTGCTAGCTCGTCCATTATCGGAGGTCAACGGGCAAAGAAAGGGGTCCCATTTTGCGCGTTCTTGACGGATTTCTTTGCTTTTTTCGCCACTGGGGCATTATTCAGCACCTCCACTTCCAACCCAATCTTATCGTAATTTTTCGCTTTGAAAGCAGAAGACTGAGCCAGTCCTCTACCATCAGACAGAAAGAGTTGTATTCACTCATCAGTGAGTTCATTCGTTTGCTCTCATCATCAACATAGCTCGAAAGACTTTTGAGAGCAATGCTTCCAAGGCTTGCTAGGGATGCTTGCTTGAAGAGCTTGTAAGCAGTCAAGCGCACTTTCTGGTGAGAGTAGTGGATGTGATGACACGGAAACAGGTTAATAACATCGGTCAGAGAATTACTGAGCAGTTATGGGAATCATCAGCTCAAGGACTTCAGGCGAATGCAACATTGTAAACCTCATTTCAAGTGGCCAAGTGGACCTGTTGACCTACGTGCCCCTGTAAGAGGTAAGTTATAGCAAAATATTATAATTTATATAGAAACAAAATCTTCTGAGCTCCACCTATCAAAATTGTTAGAGAAGGAAAACTTCTTGAAAATTGAATAAAAATCAGAGTGCTCCCAAGAAAGAAAATTGATGAGGAAGAAGTACTTAAGCCTGACGACATCAAAAAGTCTAATGTTGACAAACCTGCTTATGACTTCGTCACCAGTGCTCGCTTCAAAAAGACAGATCTTCCGCTTTGTGATCAGCAGAGTGAGGAGGTGATTGGCAGTGATGTCGATCTCATACTTACGCGAAAGCGGAGGCATGTTGAGTGACGAAGCATCGTTAGAAGCATCCTAGGATATTGTAATGCAATACGAACCTCGCGGATGACTCTATGAAGAGATATGAGTTAAAGTTGATTAAAGAGACGAGTTGCGTTAAAAGGCTCTTTTTTTTTAAAGAATCATCCAACGAAATCGAAAAATTCAATATATTGTCGTAAAGGAAAGTAAATGTTCCTGTAGGGAAGGAGTAGGTAAAGTCCAACCTCGCCATGCGGAATACGATATGTCGAACTCGTCCTCGAACCATACAATAATAGAGCGATAATAGTGGCTACGAGAATGAGGAATATGGCTGCAATGCCTCCAGACAGCAAAATGACCCTCCATCTTGGGGAAGAGCGCTGAATCTTGAAACCTTTAATAATCTGTTTGGCTGATCCCAGAGAATGGTCACTTGCCTTTTTAGGGTTATGAATGGCCAGATGGGTTGGTTTCGCCGGAGGAGGCACTGGTGGTAGTGCGTTCACGACCTGAAAAATACTTTAGTTAATTTCTTAGTTGTTCTCATAAAACCCCTTTGGAATCGCTTTCTGATCGGTTTCCGTATTTGGTCACTATCCGTTCATCACCAACCGCCTCGAAGAATTTCGGTGTGACCTTCAAAAAGTAGGTTGTTTTGAAAAAAAAAAAAACGCCTCCTAAATTTTTTTTTTTTTTTTTTTTTTTTTCGGCATATTGGAAAGATAGGCTTCGTTGCTCATGCGGGATCGAACCGCGCGAATTCCACCTCGACACAATGATCGTAAAAGCATAATGTGCATCGTGTGTACGGCTCGCACCTAAAGTTGATTCTCTTCAGCTGTAGGAACGTTTTGTGTCGCTCTTTTACCGGCTTATTATCCCTGCTGGAAACTCCCGCACAACGCTATTCCGAGATTTACTGGCAACGCTGAATTCATGCTGTTCAAACGTAAATATGCACCCAGGAGTGATCCTGAGGAAAAATTGGAACGAAATAATATCATGAAAAGTAGAACGTGGTAAAAATATTTTTGTCCCAAGAAAACTGAAACAACTTTAAAAGCAATTTCCGCTAATTGTACAAAAAGAGAAAGGCCCGGTGCTATTTATCCACTAATGGCTCATTCCTTTTGCAGACCAGCTCGCCCACTCTTATACACTAATCGGCGCTTATTTATTTAGTTGGTTTTCCCGTATGTTAACAACACAATTCGCTTTTCAATGGCATGTTGCATTTAGTGCGGCGAAGTACGCCACGATAGTGATTCTAACTTTTGTTTTCGTATTTGAAGACGCTGGGACCGTAAGGTATGCTTCCCCGAAGGGTTAGGGGACGAAAATCCCTTTAAATTTTCTCTGTCTCCCAACTGGGATTGTCCTGATAAAGGGCCTACATTTAATATATGTGTGTAGCTTAAAGTAAACATGCACTTGAAAATAAAGAAACAGTATCGTTCAAAACAAAAAAAATTTAAAAGGGATTTCGTCCCCCGACCATTCGAGGAAGCATACTTTCCAGCCCCTGAGGAAGGGCTCAAAGCCCGAAACGTCGTCGCTAAAAGAATTTGAAGAGTTACATATCAACAGCAATGGAGGAACGTATTTCACTACGGAACGCAGGAACCCTACGACACTGATCGACTTGGCCACTAGGTGATAAAACCAAACCACTGGATAAGGTACTGGGTAGGCCAAGCAATACATTCAGCTTTGAACCAAAATCTAATTATGGGAAACATGAAAACATTCTATTCGTTTGAGGAGTTTTATATTAATCGCAGAAAATTTTCAACGCCTCTAAAGAAGAGAAAACGGAATAACATCCCCGCAAAATGACAAGTTCTGCGCAGCATTCTTGAAATTATAGCAGTTCCAATTGATGTAAAATTTGGAGAACAACGGATAACTCATGGGGAGTTCCGCGATGGAGTGAACCGTCAAAGAATTAGCGCACTGAACGATTCGGGTTCAGTCAGTCTCACCTGTGAACCTTGGGAGATGAGAGGACGTTGTAACACTACTATAGACATCTCTTCGGACTCGATGGTTAGTGTCCGGTAGGAGGTGTGCGCACCCGTCGCATTCACTGTATCTTCGTGATTATCAATGGTTGCAGACGTAATGTTGAAAGAAGATGAGGGTGTTAAGGAGAGTCAGGTGGTCGAATTCGCACCACGGGGGACGATCGCTTGCAAAGCAAGCGAAGACAAGCGGGGAGTCGGGGTGGAAAAGAATTGCGAGAATGACGGCGCTCGGTGGGTGATATGATGAGCAATCCGAACGTTTTTTTCGCGACCTAGACTTCTGAGGACAACTGTCAAGGTAATAAATCTGTGAAGAGCGTGACCCCAACTAAGGTCATTACTACCTGATCAAGACGTCGCAATATACCCACACAATTGCATCGCTCAACGAATCTCAAACGTTCACCGCCCATATGTACTCTCCAAATCATCGTTTCTTTCAAACGACGTGGTGATTGAGTAGAATTCGCTCCTCTAGCGATCTTTTCTGGGCCACCTTACTACCATGCACATTTCCGTATTCGTTGCGATCGTAACTGTAAAATGTCCATCCAAATCTGTCCATGGTCAAGTTTTTATGGGTGCTCATCCTAAAATTCTGGCCCACAATATGATTTTGGACACTGCTAACATACCTATGTGGCTTTTATATGTGCTTAACAATTAACTCGGCTTTCGAAGTCAAAGGGTGATCCTAGTAAGGTTTCTGATGTGATACCTGGGAACCTTTCAGTTCGGAAAAATGGGACCAGGAATCAGCTTGGCTTCTGCCTGAACACATCGAGAATGCTAAGAAAGCCTGTGGAAGCAAGGCCAGCCTTCTTTGGATAGGACTATCGCATCGAGCAGCGGCTAGCCCTAGCCAAAGAGCTGGTGCCCAAATTTTCGTGATTTATACAAGTTGCTTCCTTGAGAGCAAGTTCTTCGTGGTTAGGTGTGGCACAAAAACACCAATCCTCAACATTATCGATCTAGTAGAGCTCGGGCATTCGTCG